ACTTATAAAACATATAATTTATTTATATTATATTTATGAATATCTAATAATTTAATTATAATTAATTTTTACATTTAATTATAGTTATAATAAATGAGATTCTTATAATATACATCATAACAAAATAAAAATTTTAATATAATATTAAATTTAGAAATGTGTATTAAGAATATTATTTAATATAATATATAAATTTATATTATTAATTCATATTATATATATTATAAAAAATTTATAATATATAAATTTATAATACAAATTAAAAAAACTTTGCACCCAACTCAAATTTAAGGCCCAACTAGCCCAAATTTATGGTCCAACAAATCCAAATTAATGGCCCAATAAAGCCCAAACTCACATTCAAGCTCATATAGCATTCATGTAACTTTTTTTAGTCCCACACCATGAAGGTGTATGATATGGTTTCCTTTTAGCTCTTTATATATTTCCCTCTTTAAACCAAAACTTATTTTATGAAATGAAATCTATATATTATGGTACTAAAAATCTCATTATTTAATAAAAAAAAAATTTATTTAAAAAATGTAATGAAGTAAAATATTTTTATTTGTTTTTTATTTAAAATAAAAAGAAATTTTAAATCGGTCGGTTCTTTTGAACCTGGACCGGTTCATCGGTTGAACCGCCGGTTCAGTCCGGATCTCTGCGAAGCTGGTTATTGAACTGGACCGGATCGGACAACTGGTCGATTCAAAGTTGAACCGGCCGGTCCGGTCCGATTTTTAAAACCTGGGTCGTAACAGAATCGCCTTGTAAGATCTTGAATTTATGTGAATTGTGGCATGTCATGCCCATTCATTGTTTTTTTTCAAAATTTAGTCATAACATGAAGTGATTTCAACTATAGGAATCAACAAAATCAATTAATGAGTTTAGTTTTATTACATCAAGAAAAATGAAATATTATTTTTGTTGACCATCTTCCTTTCAACTTTTTTGTTGAATAGAATTTTTAAGCAAAAAAAAAAAAAAAGATTTTTGTATAATGAATTCATTTAAAATATTATTTTTTTAATAATTATGATTTTAGGTTTGATTTATTCTAAGACTTTTGATAAGCATATCTCTTTACCTATAATCACCTCTCGGTTACGTCTAATCATGATGAAGTGCAATGTTTCAACTCCCATGTTCTGAAAAGGAATCATCTGCTTAGTATCTAGATATGGCATGATCTAATTGGCTACCTTTCTTTTGTTTTAACCCTAAACTCAGAAGAGGATACATGGTATGTATATATCAAAACCGGTAATGTTATATGGTTGGAAATCACAAGAATAGTTCATTTATAAGTTCAATGCAATTACTAGCCTATTCAACATCGGTACTCCATCATCTAACTAGCACATAAAAATTGGATTTTGAGACAACATGTTGAATGATTTAGATATTAAATGAAAGGTAATATTTGCTCTACATATGAAGCAAGAACCTACTTGAAGTTGTTGGAATTATCTAACACCTTCAATGTAATATCTTAGCCTGGACTGGCTTGTCTAGATGTTTCATTTGTCGAGCCGGAGCCGCATGAACAAAACCCCCTCTCGCTTTGATTTCGCCTAAATCGCAATCAATCGTGCGATCAGTCTCCCACTCGTGAACCATTTTCTTATTTTTGCGCAATCACGATAATTTTGTGATTCTACCAATATATAAGGAGGAAAATGAAACTTAGGGAATCGAATTTCCCCTATCCCGCTTGTAGTAACCGTCATACCTCTCACATATCCTTCCTCATCGTTTCTCTTTCGCAACAAGCTCTCCTCCCGACAACAACATTTGGTGAACATAGTCTAATCTTATCTTATTCTATAGTAAGTTCATTTTCCTATCCTCCTCTCTTCCTTCTTCTTATAGTTTTAGTCACCAAATTAAATAGTTCTTTTATTTATAGTGAGAATCAAGATTTGATTCATATTGATTTTGTATAACCTTGGTAGTTTATATTATGCTTTTCATTCTATTTATAATTATGTTGGCTTGTATCACAATTTTTGTTAGTTGAATGTATTGATTATTTGAATTTCTATTAATGAATTGACTTTTTATTTCAATTTCTCTATTTATTATGATACATACATACAAACATATATATATATATATATATATTCTATGGTATCTCTTACATAAGTATGCTTGAATACAAAACAGGTCATTCTATTCATTCATCGCATCCCGTATTGCCTGGACGTATCGCCTTCTAGATTTGAGGTGACATATAAGAAGTGTCATACCTTAATAAGAATATTGTTGAAGCTCAAAAGCATAAAATAAAAAATGAACATGCCAAGAAAATAATGAACATTCTTGTTTTCAACATTTTTTGTTCTCTTCTTAAGTCCTGCTTAACTCCCTCTTATTGCTAAAACATTTTATTTTCCTGCCAATCTAAAAAATGATATTATGAAGAAATAAATAAATCAGAATATTAATGCATCCGTAAAAACTTATTTAATGTGTTCATGAATTAAAGAAAAAAGTTAAGAAAAATTTCGATCTGACCAATAGCATTGCAAACATAAAATAATAGTTTTATTAATTCCAATATAGTTGCCCATGCCTTGTGGAAAGAGGGACTTATAGAGGGAGCCAAGAATATCTTGGATGAGATGTTAGATCGAACCCTAAACCCTAATTTAATAAAAGAAAATTTTGACTGATGAAAATTGTCGGAGAGGAGATTTATCAAAATCCATAGATGCTATTAACTGGCATTATACCATGAAATACAAGTTAAGTTTTAATAAAATTGGAATGAAAAAAAAAGTAAAAAATTAACAGGGATGTTCGAACCTCAGAAATAATCGAGGAGCTGATTTTAGGATTTGTGTATGTGTACTGCTGCTTGAAGAAGTCTAGCCGAGGAAGTCCTTGGTAGATATGTTGTGAATCGAATAGGAGAAGCTTGGCTACCTTGTGTAATTTGTTTTGGTAGAAGATGAGAAGTCGAGTAAATCACCCACTACCATGGTCCCACTTAGGGCAAGGTGTTTTCCAATAGAAGGCCATTTGCACAGCTTGATTTTGTTTGCAAATTGTGGGCAGGAGATGAAGAGATGCAAAATTTTCTTCAAATCTTTTGCCATTGACTTTGCTTTACCCCTTCATCCCCGATCATGTGTCATCACCTTCTAACAACTTCTCGCACTTTGCCCTAGAAATCTTTGCAGGTGTAGTTTGTCTTTTATCGTATTGAGGAAGAAGAGGATTGATGATATGATGTAAGTCTTCATGCATACATTTATAGAATGCAGATCGCTAGGAGAAAGTGGTTGTGAAATGGCAATCAAATGTATTTTAGGAAAGCAGTTCTTCCAAACCAATTAACTTTTGTTATTTTACCATTTTGAAACTAATTGATGCGGAGCATCCTTGAGAAAGTGTTATGCAGATGCAGGGTACCGTGTACATGTGCACCGTTGCCAGGGACGTCTCCCACTAACCCTTTTACTTTATTGCTGTTTTAGTGCTGTTAGCTTATGAGCTAACTTTTCATTCACTTTAGCTATTTACGGTTATGCCAAAGAGGTAGTCTTATACCCCAGGAATAGCCTGGTTCAGTAGTTTTTGACTCCAAATACTAAAATTACAAGTAGTTTTCCGGCTACTGTTCCATTGAGGTTTCCATTCTCTGCTTCCCAGCTAACATTTATGTGCAGGTTCCTACACCAGATTGGTATCAGAGCCAGATGGCTGAAGGCAGTAGACGGGTGGCTCCCGGTGAAGAACGAATCCTTGAAGCCCTGTGGGCAGAACATCGAAGGTTGACGTAGTGAGTCGAGGAGGTTGCGGCTGAAGCTCAGCAGTTTCAGGTAGATGTGTGAAGGGATCTGCGTGCGATCCTTGCGCGTCTGGAGCGTAACCCGACAGTGCGGACAGCGTTGCCGAATAATCCGCCGCCTATCAGGCGCGGAACGGAAGGGGGAAGAATTCCGAACAGAGACATGTCGGATTCAGATGAAGGAATGGAATTATTCAGAGAACTGGAGCTATCGGACTTAGAAGAAGATACCAGATATCAATATCGCCGGCGCCCGAGGGGTAATGACCGACAGCACAACGAGTTCCGCGTGAAGATGGACATTTCGTTCTTTGATGACAAACTTCACATCGAAGATTACTTAGATTGGGAGCGTGCGGTCGAAACTTTCTTTGAGTACATGGACGTCGAACCTACGAAGCAAGTAAAGTATGTTGTGTGTAGACTGAAGTCGGGAGCGAGTGCCTGGTGGCTGCAAATGCTGCAATCAAGAAGAAGAGAAGGTAGAGGACCAGTTCGCAGCTGGTGGAGAATGAAGCAGCTACTTAGAGGTCAATTCTTACCAACTGATTATGAGCAAATGCTTTATATGAAATATCAACATTGTGCACAGGGAAACCGCTCGGTCAGTGATTATACAGAGGAATTCCATCGGTTGTGTGCACGAAATAATCTGAACGAAACTTCAAATCAGTTGGTAGCCCGATACGTGGGAGGGCTGAAGGAGGCAATTCAAGATAAACTAGAGCTAAATACTGTTTGGTCGCTGTCCCAGGCGGTAAATTATGCCTTAAAAGTTGAAATGCAGATGGCCAGGCATGGCAAGAGCAGTCAAGGGAAGAGACTAGCTGAGCCGACCGCGTAGAGTAATCGACCACCTAATGTTAATGCTGTTTCGATGGGGCGCGGGACGTCCAATGAGGGAGGAATTGCCTTACAGAGCGGTGCTAACAACAAGAATGTAGAGGCGAAATTTGTGCCGAGATCGAAAGGTCAGTTCAAAGACAATCCATATGTTAAACCTTCAACTATTAAGTGTTTTAGGTGCTTCCAGCAAGGGTATAAATCCAACGAGTTCCCAACACGTCCGCAACTTCACATAATTGAAGGCGAGGATGACGCTGAAATTGAAGATGTAGAGGATGATGCAGAAAATACACTGTAGGAAGTAGGAGGAGATGATGGAGATCCGTTAGTTTGTGTAATACAAAAACTACTTATGGCGCCAAGATTAACAGATAAATCACAGAGAAACCGCATCTTCAAGACTAAAGGCACAATTAAGGGCAAGGTTTGCGATATACTTGTGGACAGTGGTTACACTGAAAATGTGATCTCAAAGGCTGCGGTCCAAGCCTTACAACTTAAAACAGTGCCAAATTTGCATCCATACAAGGTGAGTTGGGTAAAAAAAGGGGTTGAAATAGCTGTCATCGAAAGCTGTTGTGTCCCATTTTCTATTGGGAAGAACTATGTCAGTGAAGTTGTTTGTGATGTAATTGATATGGATGCAAGCCATTGGATCCTCGGGAGACCGTGGCAGTTTGACATGAGTGCCACCCATGACTGTAGATCTAATACGTACACATTCAGTTGGAAGGGAAAAACACTGAGATTATTACCGGGCCAGGGAGATTCTGAACCGAGCAATCACAACAACAAATTATTAATGTTGGTAGTGTCCAGAAATCAGTTATTGCATGCTTGGAGGGGCTCATCTCAAATTTTGGCACTCATTGTAAAGGAACAAGCGCTGATGGGAGATAAAAACTGTCCAGAAACTGTGAAGGGGTTGCTGGAAAGATATGCCGATTTGGGACCTACTGAGCTCCCGGCGGAATTACCGCCTCTAAGGAATATTCAACACAGCATTGATCTAATACCTGAATCTACTATACCGAACCTACTGCATTATAGATTGTGTCCGAAGGAACAAAAAGTATTGCAGCAGCTAGTGGATGAGTTGCTCGACAAACAGCTGATCCAGCACAATTTGAGTCCGTGTGCAGTACCCGCCTTGTTGGTACCCAAGAAGGATGGAAGCTGACGAATGTGTGTCGATAGCAGGGCAGTTAATAAAATTACTGTTAAATTCAGATTTTTGATGCCAAGGATAGAAGAAATGCTGGAAAGGTTGGTGGGAGCACAAATCTTCACGAAATTAGACCTCCGCAGCGGCTATCATCAAATTAGGATCAAGCCTGGAGACGAATGGAAGACGACATTTAAAACGCGTGAGGGATTATATGAGTGGAGTGTAATGCCATTTGGATTATGCAACACCCCTGCAAACTTTATGAGATTGATGAATGAAGTGCTCAAACCGTTTCTAAACAAAAGTTGTGTGTCATACTTTGATGATGTGCTCGAGTTTAGTTCCAATTTGGAGGAGCATCTTCAACATCTGGAGCAGATTTTTGAAGCATTCAGATAACACAAATTGTATTTGAACTTGGCTAAATGCGAATTTTCCACGGAAGCTGTGTACTTCTTAGGATTCAAAATTTCGTCAGCGGGAGTTTGTGCGGATCCTAGGAAGGTGGAAGCCATAGTGGGGTGGCCTACGCCCAAGTCATTCACAGACATAAGGAGCTTTCACGGACTAGCGAATTTCTATAAGAAATTCATAAGGGGATTTAGCGTCATACTTGCTCCTCTCATCGACGTGTTGAAGCAAAAACTGTTCGCCTGGGGAGTGGAACAACAAAACAGTTTTGAGGACATCAAACTAGTTATCTCCTCTGCTCCGGTACTGGCCTTCCCGGACTTTGACAAGCCATTCTCTGTAGAAACAGATGCATCCAAGGTGGGCATTGGGGCGGTATTAGCTCAAGAGGGCAGACTGATCAAATTTTTCAGTGAAAAATTGTGTCCAGCAAGACAACGATGGTCAGTGTATGAGCAGGAGCTGTATGCAGTGATTCGGGCTCTAATACAGTGGGAGCACTATCTATTACATCAGGATTTTATTCTATGCAGTGATCATAAGGCGCTCCAATACATTAACACTCAAAAAATATCAATCGGATGCATGCGAGATGGATCCTATTTCTACAGAAATTTACATTTGTACTGAAACACAAAAGCGGTGTGCAAAATCGAGTTGCAGACTCGTTGAGCCGTCACTCCGCCCTCCTCACACAATTGCAGACAGAATTTTCCGGCCTGGAGCTGATACAAGACTTATATCGGGAGGATAAAGAATTCGGCCAGAAGTGGTTCCAGTGTGTGCACAAGGAACCCAGTGAGGAGTACAACCTGAGACATGGCTTTTTATTTAAGGGTATTCTTCTGTGCATACCTCAATCTTCATGGAGACAGCAGATAATTCAAGAAGTTCATGGGGGAGGTTTGACAGCCCACGCAGGATGCGATAAGACTTTTTTTCAGCTACAGAACAAGTTTTACTGGCCACACATGAGGAGAGACGTCAACAAATATGTGGATCGATGCTCAGTGTGTCAAATGTATAAAGGAGGAGGACAAAATACCGGTTTATACCTTCCTCTACTGGTGCCTGACTTAATCTGGGAAGACTTGAGCTTGGATTTCATTCTTGGTTGACCCCGTACGAAGCAAGGAAACGACTCAATTATGGTCGTTGTGGACCCCTTCTCCAAAATGTCCCATTTTATGGCTTGTAAGAAGACATTCGATGCACAAAACGTTGCTAAACTTTTTTTCAGGGAGATCGTGCGGCTACATGGAGTACCCAGAAGTCTCACGTCCGACTGGGACGTGAAGTTTATTTGCCACTTTTGGCGGGAGTTATGGAAGAGGTTGAAGACACAAGTGCAACTAAGTTCATCATACCACCCTCAAACCGACGGACAGACAGAAGTCGTTAATAGAACATTGGGAAACTTCTTGCGTTGCTTAGTGCAAGAACAACCAACGTTGTGGGACGAGATGCTTTGTCAAGCCAAATTTGCATTCAATTCCATGGTCAACTGTTCTACGGGTATGCCCCCATTTAGTATTGTGTATACTAAAGCACCGAATACTGTTTTAAATATTGCAGCAATCCCAAATTGCAAAAGCAAGGCGGCAACTGCGATGGTTGATCAATTTGCAGAGATGTTAGCCAAAGTTCGGTCAAAGCTGGAAGAGGCCAATGCCAAATACAAAAAGGATGCAGATTGTCACAAGCGACGGCAAATATTCAAGCAAGGAGACCTTGTAAAGAAGGAAAGATTACCTGTGGGTTCATATAGCAAGCTCGACCAAAGGAAGTTCGGACCATTTTTGGTCCTTCACTGCATTAATGAGAATGCATATATCATTCAATTGCCGCCAGAATTCAATACGCCTAATGCTTTCAATGTTGCAGATCTATACCCATATCATCCAAGTGATAATCAATCAGTTGACACCAAGAATATCTTGCGAATTTTTGAAGCGGGGGCATATGATGCGGAGCATCCTTGATAAAGTGTTATACAGATGCAGGGTATCGTGTGTATGTGCACCATTGCCAAGGACGTCTCCCACTAACCCTTTTAATTTATTGCTGTTTTAGTGCTGTTAGCTTATGAGCTAACTTTTCATTCCCTTTAGCTATTTACGGTTATGCCAAAGAGGTAGTCTTATACCCTAGGAATTGTAATATCAAAAATCTGCTCCAGGATCGTCCTGGGACGATCAGTGGAAATTTTGCTCCAGAATTTGCCCAGTTTTGCTCCAGGTGATTTTCTGTACATATCGTCCAGGCCGATTTGGACATCGTCCAGGCCGATCGGCACTGTAGAAAATATCGGCCTGAGAATAGTTCTGGCCAATACTAAAATTACAAGTAGTTTTCCGGCTACTGTTCCATTGAAGTTTCCATTCTCTGCTTCCCAGCTAACATTTCTGTGCAGGTTCCTACACCACTGATGAAGCATTAAAAATGAACAACCAAATGAGGATCCTAATAACTGCGTTATGCATAATAAACCACGCCTATAAAGCCTCACTTGCTCTTGGCTTACTCCTTCAAGTTCTCTAAAGCAAAGCTTTAAAGCTCTATTATAATATGGTGACTTCTTCTCTTGTTATACTCTTCTTAATCTCCTCTTCTTTTTGCTTCTTGATACATCACAAAAAATCTTCTTGTTCAGGCATTAATCTCAATGCATATATGAATTGGAAACCTCCAATATTAAATTAGGACCATCCAAACTCTAATTTTAGCAAACTTATACTCAAATTGAATGTCTCGATGAGACGAACCAAACAACACTAAAATTGGTCCAATCTGAGCCAAAATGGACTCAAATAAAATCAAGAGACCGAAGCATATTTGAAAATTTAGTGAAATAATTGGATAACCATATGAGACCCTAATATAGTATGCTTATAGTCTAATCAAGCGGCTTGACGAGATGAATCCAATGAGCCTACGATCAATTAATTTTGAAAACATTAGGGTACTTAAATGCTATATGAATGCTCTATAATTGAAGGAATTGATATTGCTATTTGATGCAGCACTCCGAATTTGCTCTGCATCCTTTCCATATTAACAGGGCATGCCACTCAAAGTACATAAATAGACCTCATTTTCCCGCATGAAAAGCAGATTAAACCTTAAAGTTTTTTTACAAGAAAATCATGTATGCTCTTTGGCTTTTATAATGTGCTGAAACAATATAATTTATGGATATTCCATTACATCATACAGGAAAATCTATTCAAATGAAATCCAAACAACTAGTTGTTAATACAGAATGATTAGGGGTGTAAACAAGTTTAATCAACCTTGAGTTAGGCCAAACTTGAGCTTGACTCCACGGGCGGATCCAAGGCAGGTTGAGGGTGGGCAAATGCCCACCCTAAAATAAAAAAAAAATACTCTAGTGGAGGGGCAGTTTCAGAAATTTGCCCCCCCCCGCCCCCCCCCCCCTCACAAAAATTTATTTGCCCTAAATCTTCCCATCTGAGCCAGCTTGCCCCGATTCGGTCATCCACAGTTTTCTTTCGCCATCGCCCTACGTTCGAAAATTCCAAGTTTTCCGCCGGCCGCCGGGTGAAGTCGTGAAGAGATCGCCGGAGTCGCAACCGCCTTCATCGTTTTGAAGGTATGTATTAGTTGTTTGGTGAATCCCTACAACTCCACTTGTTTTATTTCTTTCTTCATTTTATCTTATCTGCTTCGCATCTTGAAAAAAATACATATCTGCATCTTGTTTTAATTTCATATATGCATCTTGTTTTAATTTCATATCTGCATCTTGTTCTTCCGAGAAGACTGAGTCCTGCAAAATAAAAAATATGCATCAGAAGTCAGGTCATTGCAAATGTTAAGCTTGTTGGAAGCAATGGAATCACTTCTAACCTATGCAGATTCTTCTCTTTTACTATATTTGTTCATCTTATTGTCTTTTTAGGCATCTGTTATGCAATTCAATTTATTCTTGATTTGGTTTAAATACAGATAGGAAATAGTGATTTCAATGCATCCGTCACTAGTAAATTAGGTCAAGCAATGGTCTATTACAAGGAGCAAATGACCTTTGTTTCTTTTTTATTTTTTTGGAATAGAAAAATTCTGTCCCAAATTTTCATTAGGTGGGCACAAGGCCATAGTAGATTCTCACGTTTTTTAGAAATTAGAAAGTTGTAGATTTTCTCAGCCAAAGCTATATGTCCTTTGTAAAATTTTTAAGTTACATCTATCTCTATCAAAACCATTAATGGTGTTTGTTAAGGAATTGGAGGACCATTAATGTTTTTGGTTGGTAGCTTTACGTTTGGATTGTTTTATGCTATTATTTGTCATTTTCTACATGCTGGTGACATATCCCTTTGCTCATCAACTTCAATTATGTTTGGTATCTATTGCAAAAAATCATTGGCAAGTAAAGCATCTATTTGAGATCACTTCAAGAATTGTCAATACAGTTGGTGCTTCATGTAAGAGAAATGATACCCTAAAAGCTATTCAAAATGATAAAATAGTTTTTCATTTAACCAGTGGAGAGTTAATTAGTGGTCGAGGTTTGAATCAAGAAACAAATTTGCATCGTGCTGGTGACACCCGTTGGAGTTCACATTTTCAAACATTAA